GAACACCTGAAATTCCTAAATATTTAAAAATATGATTAGTGATGTTTTCAAATTTACGAAAAATAAAATTGCATTATTGTCCCCTTTGTGCCCTTCACCCAGGGTAAACAGCTATCAATCCCCTATCATTCTTGTTTCTAATATCCTAACTTATTTTCATGGAGTAATTTAAAAATAAGTACTGTGCCTATGTCTTCACTGCAAATACAGAATTTGTACGTAATTCTTCAACCAAGAGAACCTTTTTATCATGTAAAACCTATCAAACCAAACATATCCAACCAAAACTAAAAATATTTTTAGTGTAACTTTGGAAAACTTATCCTTAATTTTTCTTGTTGTCTTGCATTACATTTATTAAAACATGTTGTGCAAGTTATAAAATCACATTTTATTACTGGTTATTTTTGTCATTTTTTACTGTGACTAATTTATAAATTAAGCTTTATCTTAGTTGTGTTTGTTCAGGAGAGGACATTGCATATGTAGGGCTGAGTACTATCCATGGATCCAAGCATCTACTCAAAGTCTTGTGTGAATCCTCTGTAGATAGGTAAGAGAGTAGTGCTGTGTTCCTTCTGTATGTTATAGCCTTGATTATTCTCTAAATATATTTCAATAGACTTTTAGGTCACTCTCGAACACACTTAATACAAAAAAAAAAAAAAAAGGAAAAAACAGGATAAGATCTGTATTCCTTCCAATTTCCCTTACATGAGTTTATACACTAATGAACTCTAGAGGTGATCAGGACTTGAATAGATGAGATAGAGGAGATGAATTGAGATAGCTGATTAGATGATAGATAGACAGCTAGCTAGATAGCTAGATGATAGAGGATAGATAAATAGATGATAGGAACAGCTACATATATTTTATAATTGCAATGACTATCCTTTTTGAAGCCCTAATTGCTATATAAAATTGGTTGCTGTGTCATTTTTACATTTTTAGAAAATGTAATTTACTAAATTTTTAATAAAGTTTTTGGTTTTCAGGCCAGACAATGCATTTGAATCTCATCCTGTAATTTCCATTCTCAAACATGGACCCAGTAAAGCACTCATGCCTCAGTATCTTTAGAAGCCACTGTGTTGTCATGGCTTCCAGCACTTTCACTAAGCCAAATGTGAAGCTATCACATCATTTAAAACAATGAAATAATGAGTTTACATCGATGCTACACACTCAGACTGTTGAGTTAATTTTTGCACTTTCTGTGCATGTTATCGTTTATGATAAAAAATTTATTTTTTGTTGACCTAACACAATTGTTTACTAGCTTTTTCTTTCAGTGTTACTCCTGCTTCAAGTGTTCACCTCCAAAACCCCAAAGCCTTTCACTCTGCCTTCTTCCCAAAGTTTTCTTCACTTCCCTGTGCTGTCCTGAGGATAAAACCTTTAACATATAGGGATCTGTGGAATATTTCGAGACCCGGATTACATAGCACAGTTATGGAATCAGAGTAATCACTCACGCTACTTTGTCTTTGGGTAGAATATTGATATACAGGAACTCATTTTTTGTATTTCTAAGTAGCAATGCTTACCACCAGACTTAGTCCATATGGCTGTCTTGTTAACAGACACAGTTAAAGGAAAGGAGCAAGTATATTTTGACCAGTAGGCTAAACAAGGAAACAAATGTCCCCAGAATCTCAATGGCTTAGGAAAACACATTTCTTTTAGGTTCACATCACCCAGCATTGTGGTTCTGCTCAGTGAATCCAGACACTGACACCATTGTGACTCTGAAGTTTCCTCCTTTCCATTCAGATCTTTGGCCTGCGTGGTATATGCTGAGACTGGCTCAGTGCTTCGCACCACAGAGCACTCTCAAGCATCACTCAGGCAGAGGCTGGCAGGTCTGGGGTCTTTGCCGTGTGTGCCTCACAGAGCACGCAAGACCACATGCCAAAGAACAGTCACCTCCTCTGTTGTCAGGGCGTCCTGCTGAGCCCACTGTGGACTCTAGAACCTCGCACATCCTCTGACCAGGTGTAAACTACCCACTGAGCTCAGCCTAAATTGTTGACTTCCAGAATAATCACAAATTTTTTAAAAAATCAAAATTGGAGTGTCTCATTTTGTGTGTGGCTTTGTTTTTATGAACTAACAGTTAACTGGAACACCAAGAATATAGATCTGATAAAACTTCAGAAAATACTAAAATCTCAATATTGATTGAAATAATTTCTAGTTAAAATTTTCATTTCCTCTTAAGCTTAGGGATTACTTTCTTATTATATATAATTTTGTTTTTAATGCTAAAATGTTTGCATGGTTTCAAAGTTCAAAATAGAAAAACTTTTGGAAAGAGGATTACTTTCTTATTATATATCATTTTGTTTTTAATGCTAAAATGTTTGCATGGTTTCAAAGTTCAAAATAGAAAAACTTTTGGAAAGATCTAAATTTTATCTTTTTCCTTAGGTACATATTCTTTTTCTCTCTCACCCCAAATGGTATTAATTTATGGTTAATTTCAATATGATTATCATGGAGATATTTGAGATCTTTGTTAGTGCATTTACCATTAAATTATTGAATTTTCATATAGTTTTGCTTGTTCAGAAACAGATGAGAGAGTAAGGTGGTTGTTAATTACAATACCCTTCTGTTAGAGGATGCAAGAATGTAAAGCTCTCTATATTTTAGAGAAGAATTAAAAAGGGTGAAGGCATCATTTTCCATAACAGTAATGAAACACATGAGTGAAAATGAACTTTTTAAGATGCAACTGTATAGATACACTATTTAAATTGTCATTTCCAAAGTAATAAACTAAACTTTCAAAGTCATCATCACTGTGAGAAGGGAGATAGGAGTTAGCGGGTTTTTCATAACAAATCTTGTGATATGTGATGTAAAGAGAAAAAAATCAAGTAAAGATGTAATGAAAAGAACAGATAACATGGTGTGGATCTATGGTATCATTTCAATAGTAGTTGATATTTACCAAGTGATTTCAAAGTACCGTAAGTGGATTATCACTGTGACACTTTAGAAGTACAGTATGAAATAGGCTCTTTTTAGATCAACAGCATGGTGCATAATTTCATGCTTTGAGAGACGATTAGTGTTGTATTATGGTGACTTTCTGCAAAACTTAGCATGTAGAAACCATACCAAGTATTGTTTCATAGCTTCTCTGGGCCTGTAATATTTTAGTGGGGTTGGGCTTTCCTGCAACTGGGATAGATATTGATATACCTGCAGTCATTTCCAGCCTTGCCTGTGGGCATCTTCCTCCGTGCTCTGACTCATGTGACACTGCAGAAGCTCCCAAGCTCACCCACATGGGTGTCTTAGCAAGCACAATCAGAGGTGGCTGTTGACTTTTACCATGGGAAGTGATGCAGTGGTAAGACAGGGTCCACAATCTTTTATAGTCTAATATTGGACTATCCTTTCTATCCTTTCTGCATAGTCTATCTGTTAGAGCGATGAATAAGCACAGCTTACTCAGGAGATAAGGATAGATTTATGAATAGGACATGAATACCAGGATGACTGAAGCAGCAGTCATCCAAGACGGTGTTCAGCATAGTAAGCAGCATGCCCAGGCTACCCCACCTCATAAGTGGTAGTTCCAGTAACCAGCTTGGTTCTGGGGTTTGTGCTATCCAGTGTTATGCTACCGTCTACATGTGGCCTGGGCAGTGTTTACCCTTTATGAGACAATTCTAGCTCCTTCCATGTGGTTGTCACTGTGGGAGGAACTAGAGAGGACCACATAGGGAAGAGTCAACTTTCCCATGCATCACAAGTGTGTTTTTATGTTCAGTAAACCTGATATTGGCAACCGTAAATGAGCTGTATGTTAAGCTCAGTATACATACCACAAATGGTGACATGCTCATTTACCTCTTCCTTTAGAAAGCATCCAAGAATGCAAGAGAAATTGCCATGAGTTCAAGTGTAACCTTGAATTCACTTTAATTTATAAAAAGTCAAACCTTTCCTGGCTTCAGAACTTTACTGTAATGAATTATTTGAGGTTCCCAGCCTCACACTTGATCATGATAAACCACACCGTCACATCTGTGGGATGGGGCATTTGTCATAAGAGGCAGGAGCTGTGTAAGAATTTTAGAAGCCACCAGGTATTTTAAGCATAGGTGAGTGATACAATTGCATATATAACTGCTTCTTTGAATTGTGAGATTTTGTCAGAAATACCAAGTATTTTATTTTCTTTATGCATAAAACAACAGATGCTCCTTTGCGTGTCTACAAATCTATTCATGATGATTTAGTGAAAATTATAGCTCTCTCCAATCCACAGATCATTGAAAGCCCCTGTTTCAAGATACCTGTGTCTGCCTTACCTGATCAGCCAGAGACCTCTGTAGTTATCACCTAGGCTATAAGATTTCAGGGCACCGAGTTGCTGTCTTACCCTTGGTTCTGTTCTCTCATCTACATCTCTTGGCATGTGTTAGGAAATTAGTCAATGTTACCTAAAAATATATTGAGCTTAGTTATACTCTGTGTTAGTTACTGACACAAGCATAAATATCCAGAAATAAGGGGTTCTTAGATTTAATTAATATAAAGGCACAATTGTATATATGTGGCTTTTTAAATTACTCAAATATTTGTTGAGCCTATGCTAAGCACAGAGCCCCATTAGATGCTGTGATACAGTGTAGAACAAAACTTGGCCAGTGCTCTTACAGCATCTTCAAGGGGCAGACTAGTGTACCGGTGATCCTAGCTCAATTTATGAGGGGCAGAGAGGAAGGGCATGTAAATCAGCAAAAAGGAGATGCATGGAAAGGTGAGGGAGACTGGGAAAGTGTGTAACCCCAAAGCTGGGTTTAGAAGCATCAATGAGGTAAGCTAAAGAGAAGATGTGATTCATCAAGTACCGGGACATTGGTTTGTAAAGGCATGGGAAAAAACATAAATAAACATAATTAAGAAGTTCTGATCCCTCCAGAGTGATGTGAATAGTCCACCAAAGTTTCCTCTCTGCTGCCTTCCTGTCTTTCCAGCCATCTACGAGCAATCCTGTGAGGTCTACAGGCATCGAGGGAACACAGCTGGGTTCTTCTACGTGGACTCCGATGGCAGCGGGCCCCTCAGACCCCTGCGCGTATACTGCAATATCACTGGTAAGGGCATAGCATTTCCACTGGTGTGGTGAGAAGCAAAGGCAATTCACTGAAAGGGGTACCTATGAGGATAAAAATTTAAAGACCGACTTTATCAGGGGTAGCACTTTGGTAAATGATTAAAACCTATCAGGTAGTTTGTTTTCAGGGGACAGAAACCAAAACTTGTTCATGGCCTTCTTAATGTTTCACCGAACCAAGATTTAGTGATCAAGTATTTGTTATAGAACTTTCCAAGGACACTTTTTCTTTTAACACACAAAACATGAAGAAAAGGAAAACAAACCAACAAAAAAGCTTAAAAATCAGTTGGAAGCCCAGAGTCAGCTGGAGTAACAGGAAAGCTCCACTCATGCCTGAGACAGAAGACTGTGTATCCAGTCTCTCACTCACTCTGAGCTTCAGTTGTTCACTAGTAAAGTAGGAATGTTGATTTCCAATCTGGATTTGTGAATATTAAATGCAATTTTGCGTACTGTGCACCTGGTCAGGCTGGTTATCCCTGCAAAAGCCTATCAAAAAAGGGAGCTATTTTTGTTTTCCTGAAAATCTCATAGTAGTTTATAACTACTTTCTTAAGTTTAGGACACAGAAAGAGGTAATTTATTATAAGTGATTGGAAATGACATGTAATCACCAATGCCCTCTGCAATAGAATCCCACAGTGCCAAGTCTCAATATAGTAATTATTTAAACTTTCAGCTATGTGAGCACTCCTACTATTTTGAATGTTATTAACAGACACCTACATATTTGGCTTGTCTGTTCCAAGCCTGGTCTTCGAAGAGATCAGGTGCATACAGGAAAGTAGGAATCTCTTATAAGGTTCACTGAGTCCTATGCCCCAGAGTTCTTTGTAAGATAGAGTTTCACATTTATGAAACTATTTCTGCAGCCAGACTTTATCATGGGCATCAAGGATATGTGGAAATATCAGATATCGTCATTATCATTAATGAGGCAGTTAAATCAGAATCACCACCATGCAGTGTTGCAGGCAGAAATACAAGTAAATCATTGGCAGAAGTGGTAATTAAGGACACTTAGTTATCTGCTTATCTGAGGATAAAGGCACAAACTTTTGCGGCAGGACAATCTTGTTACCTGGAATTCGATCTGCTTTCATAATACTTTATCCCTCCCAAAATGGATATATGGTAGCTGCTTTTCAATACCCTCATAATATTAATAGAAATTGTTTCATGGTTCTCGTAACATATATGTTAAACTACCTGGTCAAGGACTAGGTTTATCAGTATATCTTATTTGCTTTCAAAATATAATTAATATAAGAATCATCGCTAACAATGTAGACATTCCACATTTGGATATTCTAAGACAGTGAATGCACTTTCCTTCTGCTTTTCAAATGATTCTGATGTAAATTGGATCTGGTCCACACCAGAAGAATTGAATAAAGAGTGCGTGGTATGAAGCAGCATCATGGGAGTAGGGGTGTGACTGTCACTTACTAAGCACATCTGTAAGAGCTACACTAGAAGTTTGCAAGCATTGTCCATTTTAATTTTCACAACAAAAATCTGAGGCACATATACTCTTCCATCCCCATCTTGGAGAGAAGAAAAGAGAACATGATAATTTTTGACTTGTTTAAGATAGTAAGTTCTGCAACAACTAGTCAAGACTCAGGAACGAAGTAGAATGTCTGATACAGTACTAATTAATATTGTTGAATCACTGATTGGACACTTTGCATTGCATGTGGTTAGTTTAGAACAGTGTTTTCTTTTTGTTCTAAAAATAATGCATGTCAATTGTAGCAAGTTTGGAGAAAAAGTAAAGTACAAAACAACATTTTAGGGACTTATACATGCGTATATACCCATGCATGTATTTAAATTGGGAATTTAAATTTTAGTGTCCAAGTATAGTCTTTTCCCATTTACATTAAAATATATATCAAAGTTTAAATATGTACATTAAATAGTATAAAACTGTTAAACTCTCCTAAACAATGTATATGCATGGATATAGAAGACAGGATTGTTTCATAAGTCTCATTTGCATGGTCTTGGCTGCCCCTTACAGCAAGCGTATCTTGAGGTTTTTGTTTAAGTGAAAGTAACAGTGAAAGTATGCCTATAATTTTTGTTGTTGCTGGTTATTGGAAGAAATGGAAAAAGAAAGATGTTTGTGCCCTCACATCTGGTTTCTGAAATGCAGACTTACTATTCTCTGCACGTCTCTGTGGCAACTGGGGTGATAGTATCATTGATGCAGGCCTGTTTCTCCTATCATGCACTATCCTGAAAAGATGCAGTTCCTGAAAAGTTTAGTTTTGGTGAAGGAGTTTATTCATAAACTAGCCAAGTGTGTCTCAAATCCACTGCTCCTAGGATTGGGAATAGGGTTGTTTATGGCATAAAGAAATTGGGTAGTCTAAGGCTTGGTAAGGTGCCTGGATGCAAGGAATAGTGAAGCAATCTGAAGTCTATGCATGAGCAGACAACTTCAAGGGTCTTAAAGAGCCATTGTCAGAAAAATGGCTGTGTTAGCATGATCTGAGAATAGAGTTCGGCCTTCCAGTGTCACTCACTGGGTACTTATGCAGGCCTAAGGGAAGGTTAGTGGCTTCAGCCAGTTTAAGCTAGATAAAAGCAGCCTGCAGATTCTGAAAAATACTCTACACCACCACTAAATCTTGAGCTATGAAATGAGACATAATCTATAGCAAGTCTAGGGGAGGCTGAAGTATGATCTATAGTAAAACTAATGGGAGTTAATATGATATTTAGCTATGTGACCTCCGCAATTGATGACTTTTAAAGCCAATTAAAATAAAATGAAGCACAATAAGTTAGTAAGGTTTTCTCTCAGTTTCAATAACACAAGGACCACAAATAGTGCAGGGAGGTAGGAACACTGTGTTCCCTGTTTGCAGCTGCTGCCAGTGAGTTCATGCCCAGGAGGATGTTCTGTGCCTCTTCACTACAGATCCTTGGCCATTTGGAATTCTTGGAAAATACCTGTGAAATTTCTCCTAAAAAATCTATAGATACTTGCAAATAGATGTCATCAGGCCAAAGATGTGCATCTGGAGAAAACAGCATCTAGTAGATGTGAATGGGAAATCAGGGGTGCACAGCCTGGGGATGCAAAATTGAATGGCAGTGAATGAGGACGATAAAGAGTAAATTTCTGCAGGAATACACATAGTCCCTTCTTTTTCTATTCGTTTGTTTTTGGTGCTGGGGTTTAAACTTAGGTTTTTCACATTGAGATGCATTATTAGCCCTTTGATAAATACTAACAATTTTCCTGATATTCATAGCAATATGCTTGAAGGACTATCTAAAGAGTGAGGGAAATTATTAGTATTTGTCAAAGATCAAGGGTAGGGCTGAGGGTAGGAGCTGTAAATGTAATTCATAAAAAAAATAAATAAATAAAGGAAGTAAAGATCTATTCAGTAAGTTTCAACCCAAATCAGACAGGACTTCCCTTTCCATGTAAAATGGGGCTAAATTTAAGAAAAATGTCAAAAGCACACAGTGAAAAAGATTTAGAGAATGAACTAAATCCAAAAATGTATGCAATTGCTCAACCTAGAACTTGAGCCAAGAGCTAAGAAGACAACTAGGAGAAACTGTGACACACTAAAATGTAATAGTCTGCCAAAGGCATGTCTGGGCGCAGTGCCACTGTTTGGTGGTAAGAAGCTGGAATAGATGAAGATGATTTGAGGCAGTGTTGTAGAAATTTGTGGTCATCCTTGCTGCTCCAGTCTAACCAGGCAAGCAGGAACAGCTGCATTTGAGATACAAAGGAATCGAGGAGCTCAGAATTGATTGACTGGATAAAAATAGATATTAGGGGACCTGTAGGCAAGGAAATAAAGGTGTTCTTAGTATTGGACTAATATATATTCAAAGACAGGAGCAAAGAAAAGGCAGGGCATGGTAGTAATAAAATGAGTGAACTCCTGAAATCCTGGTGTAAGACTCTTGAGTTGGTAAGACAGAAGAATGGGGTTTTCTAATATTTTAGTCTCTACTTGGTGTAGTATCTAATTGTTTATGTCATCCTTGCTGAGACGTATTATTTAGTCAAACTTTATCCTGAATATTTTCTGTGAAGATGTTTTTCGAGACTAACATTTTAAAGAGTGGATTTGAGTAAAGTGGATGGACCTCATGCAGTCAATTGAATGCCTTAATAGAGCAAATACTGGCTTATCCTGAACAAGAAGGAATTCTGTCAGCAAACGTCTTTGGACTTGATCTAAAACGATTCTTACTGTATCCAGCCTTCTGATACATTCTGCAGATACTAGACCTGTGTATCCAGTTCTCTCTCTACCTCTCTCTCTCCCTCTCTCCTCCATCCTCTGCTCATCTTTCTGTTTCTCTCTCTGTCTCTGTCTCTCCACCTCTCTCTCTTTCTCTCTCCCTCTTTGTCTCTCTCTGTCTCTCTGTCTCTCTCTCTCTGTCTCTCTCTCTCTCTCTTTCTGTGTCACGCTGTCACACATACACAGAAACTCATACATGCACACTTCAATCAGTCGTGTTTCTTTGGAGAATTCTTAGTGAGTATTCCCAGGCTGGGATGAATGTCCCACCATATGCTTTTTTCTCATCTTCTGTAGATTTCCAACATGCTACTGATAGCAGTGAATTAGGACCATCAACATTCACTATTGGGTTCCCATGAGACTGTGAGTTTCTTAGTTAAAGGTAAGGGACAGGGTGTACTATAGTAATGTGTCCATGAATTGGAGGTTCAGTCCCAGTGTGGTGACAGGAAATGGCCTAGTGAGATGTGATTGGTTCATTTTAGATGCTGCCCTTCAAAGGGATGACACTTCTCATGGGACTCTGGTTAGTTTTCACAAGAGAGTTGTTATTAGAGAGCAAGCCCCACCCCTATTTCTCTGGCTCTGCCTTCTCCATGTATTCTTTCTCTCGTACATATACACGTTCACAACCAGCCCTTTGCCAGAGCTGGTGCTGAGTACTTCTCTCAAGTGTCAGGTAAATAAA